CAGAGGTATTTTGATTTCATTTTGCAAGATGTTTTTGGTCTCTATCTTGTTCATAATTTCCCTTCGCTGTATATAAATGGGTTGACTGTGTTAGCAGGGGGATATCGATGAACTTTGTCCGGAGGCCTCTGTCTCATTAGTCATGATAATTTTTAGCATTGACTTAAGTCCATGGTCCGACCAGATCAAACCAGTTCTATAAAGCGAAAGGTGACAGCGAACAAAAGGCGGGTCACGCTATATTGTTATTTACATGTGGGAATAAATGTAACTGATGAATCTGTATTAGATCAATGACCATCGCTGGAACAATCTAATGGTAAAAGTAATTAGCATAATTCGGTATCATTATAAATAAGCAGTATGAAGAGCGAACTTCCAAGTTAGACGTAGGGGATACATTAATTTGCTCTGGTGAAATCTTAAAATTGTCCTCTGCGTTTGTTCGACAAATATGATCATTTCCAGCGTCGAACCGTTGGCTTATTACATTCCTAGACGTTTAATTGGCATCATCAGTGAGTCTTGCCATTCTAGGCTTTAAGCTACAACTCGTCAAAGAGGCAAGTGGAGTCAATTCCCTGACCAACTTTATGTTGAGCGGTGAAACTATCATCTTTGTCTCGGACGCGTTGTAACTTGGTAGGGAGAATAGCAAGACTCACTGATGATGCCGATTGCGATGTCGGCGAAACATCTGGAAATGTACCAATTCTATAGTCCAACGCCGGAAATATGATAACTGTTATAGCAGAGGATCTTAGACAAGGTGCGTTCAACTAGGCCTTCCTGATAACATGATCATATTGTGAAAATAAGGTCAGATCACGTCTATCGTGACTGGTTTAATCAGCTTAGCGAATAGTTTTATATAAACCTCAAGTTCTTTCAGCAGAAGAATGTAAGACCTGTTGATACCAACGTTTTATCATAGCCTCATTTCTGACTAATTGCATATTTTTTTACTTTAATAATATAATCAACCAGCAACTATCTTTTAGTATTATCTTTATGCCTCATACTCTCTTCTCAACGACGATGGGATTAGATAATCTCATTAGCTTTTATGTCCCTCGGTTCGAGTTTTTTTAAACTTATGATGATTTTATTTATTTTTAATCTAACTGCTTTTTTCCTTTTTAGATTGACAGTACTTCTGGTGGCTATGGATCCCGCGCCAACGGGAATCAGGTGTTTGGCTTGATTACGCATGAAGAGGTCTGTCGTTTCTTGGTAGGTATCCTTCATCTCATAATTATCGTCACGGGTTCTGCTCTGCGTTTGCCAATGTACGACGAATACGGTTTTCCTGCTAACTATCCTCTCAATTTGTATGGAGAACCCCCTATTGATCCACAAGGTTGGAATGATTGAAATTTTTTAAAGCTTTTTATATCTTTGTAAATATAATTTAAAATTCATTCCTTCAATATTCATGCAACCATAGAACTTAACTGAGTATTCGTTTTAATATTCTCTCAAACATTAGAGAGAAGTTGTTTGACCTTGTTTTCGCAACTTGGTCGCATTGGCAGGAAACCCTTGAGGAACGCACCTTGTCCGAAGTCCATAGTACGCGTGAGAATCTCCAAAGTCGGACCGTGGAATCGGTACATTAGATAGTTTGCTTGTGGCAATTTTAGTTGTTATCTCCTTTTTTAAGCATTTTTCAACTTTTAATTAATTTAAGTTATAGTTTTTTCTCTTTTTTGATGATGTCTCCATCCTACCATATGTTATTGAGAATTTAGACAGTTATCTACTTGAAGTTTGGAATTGTGGAATTTACAATACCAAACATTTAGTCAGAGCAGAAAAGTTTGATTTCACTAATACATTTATCTTCGTTTTTTTAATTTGCCATATTGAATGAAAATAATATGATAGATAAATGCATGTAAACTTAAAAATAATTTAAGCAAACTTGTGTGGCAACCAACAAACGTTGTGGTTCAACATTGAACCTAATCAACGCAAGCAGTACCACAATCTTTGTGGGTTGGCACACAAAAGACCAGGGCATGGGAAGTCATAGACTTGGTATTAGAAATAAAAGCAGGATAGACGTTGCGGAGACTGAAGCTAGTTGGCTGATAGTAGGTTTTTCCAAAGACGTGGTCCATGTAGCAAAGACGTGACCATGAGACCTACTCAGAGGCTTTAACCTCGAATTAGTCATCCAGACACAGGGGAAGGCGAATAACGCCTCGAGTAGTACAGATGGGGTAGCAAGGCTCGAATGGATTACGTGAGCCAGAGAGAGAGCAGACGGATTTTACATGGAAAGAGAGAGACTGTGATAAGAAATGGGAAAAGAGGACTGCGTAAATATATGGCAGACTGATCAACATTCCCAACACAACGGTGAAGGGGATGAGAACGACAGCGTGGAGTGTGAAGGGTTTTTATGAATGCCGATCAATAAGCAGGGTAAAAATTGTGACAGTGAAGGTGTTATAGGAGGATATAGGAAATGTGAATAGCCCAGGACAGAAGGGAAGATACCACAATTGTCTAGCACACGTTTGGTCAAAGGATCGGCTTCGCTCGTCTCTTTGACGAGTTGTTGTGTGGTGCTAAGAATGGCGAGACTC